ATATTGTGTAATCTCATATATATATATATATATATATATATAAGGTAAAAATAAAAACAAAACCAAAAGACTTGGGTAAAGTTTTCTTTTTCTTTTATTTTGTACTCACTTTATTCTAATGTTAGAGAGTATAGGAGATGATACATTAAATAGTAGCGGAAGGACAAAAACCATTTTCCATTTATCTTTCTTGGCATGGAATCTTTATATTGAACTTCTGATAAGTGTCAATAATTTTACAAGTTCTATTAACGAGATGAATTTACCTATGATACCTATTATTATTTTAGCCTTCATTTTATAATTATTTAAATAGTTTTATGTGGTTTTATTTAGATTTTATATAATTTTTATTTTTTTGTGCAGAAAATAACTAGAATGCATAAAAATATAGATTTTGAGACTTAAGTATTAATTATTTAAAATTTGAAGGACTATATTCTAAAGAAAAATGTTAAATCAAGAACTAAATAAACAAATTTAGAGTTTAAGGATCAAAGTGCCCATAAAGCAAAAGTTGAAGAACCAGTAAGCACCACTGAAGAAATTGCAAAATGATCCAAAAAATTCCGACACGGACTAGGTGTCGACACCATACGTTAAAATCTTTTAATTCTTTCCTAGGCCGGCCCGTGTCCGAGGAAACTCTTCATCCGGGGTGTCACTTCCAAATTGAGGTATCGACACTCTTGGTGATTTCAGCAAATTTCTTTCCAAGTTTTATTGTTAACAAAGTTCCTACTTCTCCCTTTTTTTTTTATTTTTTTATAAGAATCAATATAGTTGACTAAGACTACAATGCAATTTTGTTAATTTAAAATATAATTTTATGATTATTATATTTTTAAAATTTGTTATTATATGCAAAAAACATGTTATTATTCTTAATAACCTTTAATTGTTTCTCACCATTAAAACTGATATAAAGGTTATAATTGAGAGAAAGATGTGATTTTATTTAATAACTTCTGGTTATATATACTATAAATTGATAAATGCTAGAGATGAATTAAATTAATTTCTGCAACATTAATAATAAAGTGACAAGTAGGCTTGAAAAATCCAAAGTCTAAAATTTCACATGATATAATTCATTTTTATTTATTTAATTTCAATTGTTAAATATCTGCTAAACCCAAATCTGATTGGTTATATTTTGGCCAAATGGATTTGTTTGGTTTACATATCATGGACACGCTTCATTGACCTCAATTACATATGACTGATCAGCAATGATGGTAGGGTACCAATTCTGGTCAAACAATTGGGAAAAACCATTGCCGTTGATCAGAATAACTTGCCAAATTTAGTATAATATGAGGTGATGGTAATAAAAGCAAGAAAAATATTTGGTGTATGCAGGTTATTTATTTATTTAATTAATTTTAAAGTATCTAAAAGTCATATTAAATTTTGATTAATTCAGAGTAAAATTATGTTAGATTTTATAAAAAAAAATTCTTTTAACGTATGCTTTTCCATTTATAACACTCTAATTCAAAATCTTTTTTAAAGAAGCAAAGTTCCTTCCATTTTTACTAATAAGTTATTGGTGGTATGTGCAAGTTATTGAAGCTGGAAGAATTGGAGAACAGGCACAGGGAGCCGCCATCATGTTTACACGGTATTTCGTACTTAGGCTCCAAGTTTCGTTCATTGCTCTTTCATATTTTTCTTGTTTTCCAATGCCATTCTTCTTGTTCAACTGGCTATAAAAACTTAATATATAATAATTGAACTCAAACGTTAAAAATGAAAATACAATTAGTAGCACAAAACATTGCTTTATAGATTGAAATGTATGAGCAACAAAACACTAATCATTCAATTAAGAGAGAACTCCTAATGATGAGATAGAGCTTCTCCGTCTAGTGGTTGGTGTTTTATAAATAGATATAGATTGTTTGAAGAAAATTTGATTAAGTAAATTTCTTTATATATATATATATATATGTATAAAAGTATTTGAATCAATAAAAACTTCATCAAGTTAGTACTTACTAATTTAAAAACTTCTATTTGGGATAAATATTAAAAGTTTAAACTTTTGTATTGTCAAATAACTAAACCCTTTGATTGATAAAAATAATAATAATAAATAAATGAAACCATAACTATTCGAATCTTTATACATTTGATTAAAGATTTAAGAGGTGTTTTGTATGTCCTTGGGATAGGAATTGCAGTTTATATCAATATGAAATAAATATTGGGTTAAATTTTCTCTATTGCGGATAGCATGACAAACTAGGTGATATGTACTGAAGTTTATCATATGTTTTAAGGGTATAAGGTAATAGAATATAAGTAGTGGTATTATTTGATGTAAGGCTAACATAGCCAGATGCAGAGCATTTCATTTATCAGCCCTTCAGCCGTAGCTAAGCTATAAAAGAACGGTTCAATATTATTACTTTCCAATAACTTCCATACATTTTTAAGTGCTTTATCAAATCTTAAAACTATTTCTGCAGTAGGGAGTACTTTCTTGTATTCTGTTAAATTTTGTAAGAGACTTTTATCTGCAAAATAATAGAATATGAAGGCAATGTATTTAACTTTAACCTCCAGGGTGGGGGAGATCCTCTTATTTTCAATTTATTTGGAGAACCAACCTCCTCCGAAATCAAGTTTTGATTTTTTTAGGAGATATCTTTTAAACCTCTGAACCCAATTTAAAGACTTGAGATCCAGTTAATTCCAACTAATAACTACTCTGTAACTCCTTATAACAACTTCTGTTGCAGAAAATACTTTCTTGTACCCCTCCAAATTTTGGAGGAGGTTTTTATAAGCATGACAATAGAATTCAGATGTAAGATTTTATTCATGCAAAATCGAGTGGGCATGATATGCATGCTTCTTCCTGTCAGTACATGGTTTCAAGATTTATTAATCGAAGCCTAGGATTTAATAACCTTTAAAATAATATACTAATTTATATTATAAAAAAAATAAAGACTTTTAACATAGAGCACTGGTGAATTGAGGCAGTGCATTTCTGATTGTTTTCGTATCATATACTTGAAAATGGGAGGACTTGGTGAAGAGGAAAACACTCCAACCTCAGGCTGCATTGTGCCTTACTCAGTCTATTGACAAATAGTTATGCTGTAATCCAGAAAGACAACCATAGTTCAGATCATCAAATTCTAGCAGTACGGAATTCTTCCATCTCAACCCTAAATTAACTCTGCACATTAAAAGAAAAAATTCAAAACCCATTGTGACAAGTTTTATTAACATAAAATCTCAACCACAACCACTAAAGGGTAACCCAAATGACCCAAATGCCAAAGACAAGTGATACCCTATCCATGCACCTAAGAAAGTAGAAAGATTTCTAGCAATTTTACTATGAATCAAATGATTCAGTGACATTAGCAGTTATACGTGTCCCAACACTTGGATGTCAAAAATAATTATTTGCATGATCAAAATAATTACATAGGAAAAAGGAAATTTGTTTGTTGATCTTTATTCATGTTAGAACACTGCATATTTCCCTTCTTTCATACACATCAACCAAAATGCACTTTGTTAATAATCTGAGGTAAGTTTGCAATAGAACAAATTAGCACTTTATCCAGGATTATGCAGACCCATTATATGGTATCAATTGAAGTCTCAAAAGTAAAACAGGAGTATATCAAGAACTAAATTATCCAATTGAAAAGCTTTAATTAGCTTCCATATTTCTCTTAATCCAAACAAACACTTAAACCCATATCAAGGCAGCAGTATCTAATAAAAACATAAGGCTATATCAAATACAGAATAAACTACACAGATTTTAGTTGTCTTACCTTTAAGACAAAGCTTATCATAGCATTGTCCTACATTCACGTAAGAGTTTTTGCACTACACTGTATAAAGAGGCATCCATCTTCCTGATCCAACCCTTCTGTGAAAGATCTCTGATGATTAAATCCCATGCATAAAATAATGCTCGAGAATTATTATCCATAACGTCAAAAAAGCCCATTAGAAAGTTTCAGATGAATTCGAAATTAAATTGCTAACTGGAGCAAAATGAAACTTGGATACAAATATTGGTCAAACTAAGGGAAAATTCACTGCTTCTTAAATCAAATACATTATCAACTTTGTTTCCAACAAGCATATACCACAAGTGAAAAATACTGCATTGGAATAAATTAACAGCCTCTAAGCACCATTAGCAAGTCACTAACATTTCACTAAAAAAAAAAAAAGAAAAAAAGAAAAGAAAAGAAAGAAGCATTGACATAATAAAGACAGCGAGAGTATTCAAATCTAACCAACTAAACAGTCACCTTCAGAAATCGAGTTTGTCTGTTCAAGGCCGGAGCAGACATTGTTAAGGGCACACATGGAGACTACTGAAACTAAGTGTCAAATAAGAGGCTGGGAAGAAAGGACTGAAAAGGAATGGCAAAACCGGAACAACAGAGAAAAAAGACACAGAAAGCTCTTAAGCTTTTACACCATATATTTTATCAATACCAAAATAAAATATTACCGTACCACAAATAAAATACTGCATCAGCATAACAGCCTTTAAGCACTGTTAGCAAGTCACCCAGCAACAGTATTGAAATGTAACCAACTAAGCAGTCACCTTAGAAATCTAGTCAATCTTTTCATGGCCAACGCAGACATCTTTAAGAGCAAATATAGAGACTACCGAAACTAGGAATCAAATTTCAGGTAGGGCAGCAAGAGCTGGAAATGAATGCCAAGACTGTAACAATTAGGAAAAACTTAAAATGGTCAATGAAAGCTCTAAAGGTTCCCTCTGCAACTGTCTCAATACACATGCATCTGTGGCAACATGATTTTTGCTAAAGCCCCTAAGGTAAGCAGCAGGCAGCACACAAGTAATGCATGATGAAATTCACAGTTCCACTATTAAATTTTCTAAATGAGTGAACTTAAAAAAGGGTATACTTCAAATCATATCCTATTTGAGGCATACAATCATGTTCACGCCTGTGTCAGTAAATTTAAAGTTAGAGTTAAACGTATGAGGAAAAAGTCTTGAGTAAAAAATCACAGGTTTAGATGACATAAATTATTAACAAACTTAGAATATATAAACAACTAAAATTATCCAATAAGATTCCATACTTTCTTTTGCCTCCAAACAACATATGAACTTGTCTCAAGGGGAGGAGTATCTAACAAACATGAGGCTTTCAAATATGTGGAATAAAGCACTAGGATTTTAGTACCTTTAAGACAAGCTCGTCAAAAACCATTTTTCAACATTTACTCCAATTTTTGTACTTACCCTATAAGAAGGCATCCATAATATATTCCCAAGCAAAGTCAAATACACTTGTTTCTGGACATAACCCTTTCACTTTCCTGTTAAAAACACCAATGTGAGTGGCACCATTAAATTCCATGTATAAAATAACGCTCAAGAATCATTCTCCATAAAATCAAATAGGCCCATAAGAATGTATCAGATGAACTTGGGATTAAATTGCTAACTGGAGCAAAATGAAACCTGGAAACAATCAGCATTGGTCAACTTTGCTTCCAACAAGTATCTTGATGCAGATATTAATTTGTTCAATACAGATAAATATATTTAGCCTATAAATCAGTTTGTGAATGTCTCCTTTTGAGATCCATCATATACTGTATCAATCACACAGGTAAACTACACCATCACTATAAAAATATAATGCACATAACCAAAAATTCAAAAGGAAATCAAATCAGATTTAGGTTTAGAACCCAACCTGTCCTTTTTGCTCAGTTGTAATTAAGACGATCTCGCTAATAATAATCCTCCACATGCAAAAGCAAGTTTTAAGCCTAGATTTGCAGCAGGGGATAAGAAATTAGAACATGCTCACATTCTTCAACAAGAAAATTAATCCGACTAGACCACATGTGGAATTTATAGTTCTAGCACAATTTCAAAACACATTAGAGAACAACTTTAAATAAAATCCTTTCCAATTAGTATACAAATGAAAAATTGAGATTTTCATTGATCAGACTCAATTGAGTTAAAAATTAAAGGAAAAAAAAGCAAGCATGATCAAGAAACTAAACTTCAATTTCCTCAATATAAATAAGAAAAACTGTCAAAAACTCAGTTTTCTCCAATCTTCTCAGCAAACAAACAAACCTTTGACAATGATGGCATCAAAACAGATAATAAAAGAAAACAACGCAGTCTCTTTAATCAAATGTAAAATATGGTAACTTTAGAGAAATCTACATCAGATCTTAAAGGAAAACATATGAGAAAGGGAAATCCCTTAAAATTTTCAAAAAAAAAAAAAAAAATGTAACTTGAGAAGTTAGATTCTCATGCACTGGCAAAAGTTTTAGGTAACTTCACTAAAACTATGGAACTATCTAATCTAATAGACAAGCAAGACTCAAATAAATTATTGAAATAAAATACCAATAAAGATGGTTGAACTGAAGCAGAATTTCATCTTCAAGGCAGAGCGATCACTTGTTATGTCAAAGGAAAAAATTGTGCCCAAAGATATAAATTTCATACCTCCATATGGTCATTTAAGAGGGACAAAGGCAATTTCTTCTCCTTCAAAGTAGCATTATAGTTAACTTGACATCTGATTTTGGAGCTCTCCACAGGAGAATTTCAGCTCCTGCTGATACCAATACCTTCAAATAGTGAATAGTGATTATTTCAAAGCAAACAGTTCTTACCATGTCCCTGGACCCTGGTATATATAGTGCCTTCACCAATATGTTTGATTAAAAAGAAAGATGCTCATAAGAAACCCCTTTTCCCATATAACAATTGATCATTTGATGGGTCACAGGAAAATCCGCTCTGCTCTTAAAGAGTGAAGATTTGCAGCATGGGATTGGGTGTCAAATATGATGTATTGGAACAATGGTTTTCCTTAAGTAGTGATCCAGTAGCAGCTCCTCATCACCAACATGTTTTTCTAGCACAGCACCAACATCACCCTGCCCACAGATGAATGTTAACCCACTAACATCCAAGGATAGGCATTACGTAATTCTCTTTTGAAATAACAGTGTTTAACTGGTAATTTGCTTTAACTAATGAGACATATTCAAACCATGCAGTCAGAAAATACAATAAAATAATTTGTTAAAAAAGGCAAAAGAAAAGAAGAGTGTACTCTAACCTGAATGCTAGTCCATCTTTAGCGATTCTGAGAAGATAAAGTAACAAGCATGTAGAAATGGTTGATGAAAGTAATAAGTCTTGGATGTTGATGACGATGATGATGTTGTTGAATGAAGTTTGAGAAGAGATATGCAAATGCAACCAACTAAAATGCATATTTCAAGAAAAGCAAAGATGCAGGTGCAGTAAAATATAAATACCAAAGGAAATTATATACATCCTAATTAATTTCAAGTCTTTTTTACACACAATTTCAAAGACAAAATTACACACATAATAAAGAAACAAATATTTCCACTTAGAATTTGATACAGACATAGCAAAAGAAAAACAAAGAATATCAAATTTATATTAAATTGAAAACCCAACAGCAACAGCAATAGGTGAAAATTTGATTTCCTCCGACTTTCATGTGGTTACAGAGCTAAATACCAAATTTTCTGCAAATAAGAGAGAGAGATCTATCAAGAATAAAGAATGGAAAAAGGAAGCATAAAGATGAAAACTCTTAATGAGTTGAATCAAAAATGGAAAATTGAAAATTAAAAGGCTTACATTTGCAGTGCGCCCTACCACAAAAACCAATCAATCTACTGAAATTCACAGAAGGGTAAAAGGATTTCTTTTGCATTGGGATAGTCCTATTCCAATGATTCCCACCATTCTTTTGGGAATACCACAATTTCTTTGAGGGAAGGAGGATGAGATGATTGGGCATTATCAAGCAAGGGAAAATTCAGAGGAATCCTCTTTAGCTTCTCGCAGTGGGCAATCCTCAGACTCTGGATGGAATCACAAATCAACACACTGGAGTGACTGCAAATGCTCTTCAATGCCGGCAATCTTGTCAATTTCAAGCTTTGTAACTTAGCTAGAGTGACTTTTTCTTCTTCGTGTGTTGAGGACGATATCAGCTCTTCCATTTGTGAACACCATCCAACCTCAATAGTCTCTAGAGATTGGAAGTAGTGGAGCAGCCATCCAGATGAGAATACCTCCTTTAATTGATCACACCCAAAAACCTTAATTTCTTTAAGAGAGAAAAAGCTTGTGGGAGGTACAAATGGCGATAAACCAAGACCTTCTCCATCAAACACAGATTTCAGATTCTTTAACTCTCTAAGCAATAGATATTCAAGATTTGAAAGTGGGTTGAACCCTGACCAGAAAACACTCTCTATATTTTTGCAATCCTCAATTTCAATCTTCTTGATAGAATCACAAATCAAAACAGTACTGGAACTGCTATAGATGCTCTTCAATTGAGGCAATATGGTCAATCTCAACCTTTCTAACTTGGGTAGAGTGACTTTTTCTCCTCCTTCAAATTCAAACCCTATTACCTCCTCTAGTTGCTCACAATAACTAACATCAATAGTTTGTAGTTCTTGGAGATACCCCAACCACCTAACTGAGAATAACTTCTTTATTTTATTACACGCAAAAACACTAATATATTGAAGAGAGGAAAATGTGCCAGCTGGTAGAGGTGTTGACTCAGCAACTGTTCCTGCTTCCCCAAACACTGCATTCAAGTTATCCAAATTACAAAGATTCAGCTTCTCAAGGTTTTGAAGCTTCCCCCAACTTCCAATCTTCTCCCATTTAAATTTTGTGTAGGTATTTACTGTTAAATATTGAAGTTTTGAGAAATTTTGTGCCAGTTCATCAAGTGTTTCAGGTAATCTTCCACCAAGACCAAGATATTTTAGATTTGTTAATGTGTTGAGGCTTTGGGGTAGTTCTTCAATTGATGTCGAGGAAAGGTCCAACTTTTTTAAGCCTACAAGGTTGGATAAAGATGGTACCTCTCTTAAGGACTCACAATCCCCCAGCAATAATGTAGTAAGCTTCTCCAATTTGGACACAGAACTTGGCAGCCTACTTAGCTCAAGATTGTTGGAAAGGTCAAGAATCTTGAGCCCAAGCATATGCTCAAAAAAAGCTTCTGGAATTGTTGAAAATTTGTTATTGGGCAACAGCAAGGTTGTGAGCATAGGACACTTCAGAGATGGCATGCTTGAAGGAATTTCAGTTATGTAATTCCTCATTAAAGAAACTTTCAAAAGATCTTCCCTCCATTCATGCTCCTCTGGTAACTTTTCCAAGGCCATGCCAGCTTTCACCAAGAATTGAGGACTAATTTCCAACGCCATTTCTCGGAGAAGATCATGCATACTCACACGATCTTCTTGGTAATTTTTTTTAACCAATTCTAACAGGCAGTTGTCAACCAGCTTATCAAGTATATCATGACCCTTCCAATTCATTGCCTCCCTACTTTTCCCTTCTTTATATATAAGCCCCTCCTCAATCCAATACTCAATTAACTCCTCCTTTGGGATTTCATAATCTTCAGGATACAATGCACAATATAAGAAACACTCCTGGCATTGTGGTTCTAGGCATTCATAACTGAATTTCAAACAACTAACAATGCTTTCAAATTTACTAAATTCAGAAAGTGCCAGCTTCCAATGACGAGGGAGTAATTTCCCTCTCATTGATTTTGCCACTGTCACAATAGCAAGGGGTACTCCATCACATTTCTGCAAAATTTGCTTTAAAAATGGCTCTATATCTCTTTTAATTTTGCCATCTGAAAACACATCACTTCCAACTTTCTCCAAGAACAATGCTGATGCTTCATTAGCTGGAAGAGGATTCACCACAATCACCTTACAATCCATTACACGAGCAATATGTTGTAACCGTGTTGTGATCACTAACTTGCAACCATTATTTCCAACTAGATCAGGAATTCCAACATCTTCTAAAGAGAAAGGCTCCCACACATCATCCAGAATTAGCAAGAAGCTGCCCTGCCCCAGCCTTTGTGAAATCAATCCTGCAAGCTTGGTTTCATTCTCATGATCCTCTGGCTCCAGCTTTAATTCTAAGCTACTTGCAATCCTTTTTTGAAACTTGAGAATATCAAACTTCTTTTTGTGCTGGACAATAATGTCAAAGTCTTTTGACACTTTTACCCAAATAACTTTGTTAAATTTGGGTTCTTTCAAGAGTTGGTTGTGGACTTGCTTCATAATTGTTGTCTTGCCCACACCGCCCATTCCTGAAACTACAATTCTTGTAACCTCGTCTCCCTTCAACCATTCTAGAATTTGATCTTGTATATCATCCCTACAACTAAATTTGTCAACAAGGAGTGGAACTCCTTTGATTGAGTGATCATCTACCACCAAACTCACACCAGAATTTGTATATTTTTCTCCTCGCTTAAATATTCCTTCATTCAGTGATTGAGTCCTTTTATCGAGCTTTCTTGATGAGCAAATATATGTGAAACAGCCCCCTTTGCAGATTAGATCTTCAACCCCTTTTTCTGCAGTTGCTTGGTTTGATTCCTTTAGCCAAGCTTCAACTTCCTGCTTTGCAGTCTGTCCAGGCTGCATAAGCTGAGTACGCAGTCCTTCCGCAACATCTTTCTGTCGGCGCTCCAGCTTTGTTTGCATTTCTTTGAATTCATTGACATAATCCTTGTGACATATCTGATACTTGACATATTTCTTAACTGTAGGTACAACATCCTTTACAATATCCATGACTGGTTTTATGATGTCCATTAAAAAGTTCCTGCATTTATGAAATTGTTGGATATAAGCTAATTGTGCCTTAAAACTTAAATGACCTTAGGAAATGGATCACGCAATTTATAAGAAGAGAGAAAACAAGAATAAAAGCATCTGAGAGAGAAACAAATCGAGTTGAAAATTAATGGTGGAAGAGCCATGATTGACTAATTTAAGTATTTGGTTTTTATAAATTTAGAGATGGCTGAAAATTAAAATTTTAAATTAAAATTTTCTTTAAAATAAGTTTTAACACTTATAATAAAAATATGAACTTATTTAATGGTATTAAAATTTTTTTATTTTTTATAATCTTACAAATAATTTTTATTTAGAGTTACAAAATTCATAAAAATAAAAATAAAAATAAAAAACTAAAAAGCATGATTATATTAAACTAAACCTAAATAAACTATGATTTTGTTTGTTTAGTCTTGTATTGTTTTGTGCTATGCTATAGCCATAGGTTTTTTTGTCTTATAATATCTTAAAAATATATAAAAAATAATTTAAATTAATAAATTTTTATTTTTAAATAAAGTGACATATGAAAAATGTAGGTGAAAAGTATGAATTCACGAAGCCTATACAAATGTTAAATCAACTAATCAAATTGAGTTGGAAATTAAAAATAGAGGGTTAAGAGTTCAACTTCTACCAACTACTTAAAAATCGTTTCCTTTCTCCCAAAAATTTCCTATGTTTGAGGAAAAAAAAAAAGAGAGAGAGAGAGAAAGAAAAGGTAGTTTGATAGAAGTAGACATGCATGCATAATCAAATCAAGTTGGTATGATATCTTATTGTTCCTCAGGACTGATTGACTTTTCACAATTTTTTAAAAAATGTGGTGCAAATATATCATCCTTATAGTTGAACTTTGTGAAGTTTAGCCGCCAAGGTAGGTTTGCAAGAGTCACCGTCTAAAAGGACAATTGTCTATAAATTTTAAGAATGGTATATTCTCCAAGTTTTAGGTGCTGGGTTTGAAATTTTCTTCCCACAAATTTATATTTATTAAAAAAGAATTTGCAAAAGGTAAGATGTATAAATTAAAAAAATATAAATTAATATTTTTAAATAAAAATATAAAATTTATATCTCTATTTACATACTTTCTTTTCAATTTTACTCTAAATTTAGATAGCAAGAATGAATTCGCTCTTAGATTAAAGAGACAAATCACCCCACAATCCTTTTAAATTAGATAAATTATCTAAAATTTAATATAAACAGTAATATAGGGGGAGTTTTTTAATATTATTTTTTATATAATTTTTTTATATCATTAAATAAATAAATATATTTAATATAACAAAGTTTAAATAAATAAAAATAACTAATTATTTAAATAATATATAAAATTATATCAAAATATAATATAAAAAAATTATGTTTAAATCATTTTCCATTAACATTTAACACGGGGTGACGTGATGTCACGTAAGTAATCTGTTAACTCCGAACTTAGCTGCCTAATTTTTACATGCTGGACACTACGTGGTCCACTTTCCACCACCGTGGCGCTTTCTCCTCTTTTTACATCTGGGCCCTACCAAAATGCCATCGTTTCTCTCTCTTATTTTATAATTTTTATATATTATTAAATAAGTTAATAAATTTTAAATTTTAAATTTTAAATAAAAAATTAATTATTTAAATAATACATATAATTATATTAAAATAATAAAAAAACTTAAAAATTATTCTGTAATTATTTCTCTTCTATTTTAATGAAATATTTTTTGTTACATGTATAGAATATTTTGTTCTACTACCAAGAGTTCGGCAGCCTTGGGTGCAGTCAAGGGGAAATGGAAAAGAATAGGGCGCCGACTAGATACTTCGTTGTGCAAGAAAAAGAATACTCGAGGTGAAAGTGTCTAAGGAGAAAATGAGAGCTTTTAAGGTGTTGGTAGAAAACACAGATTCTTTAATTTGATTGGATTTGGGCCATGACCCTCTTGCAGGTTGATGATTATATAATGACTGGGACGACATTTAACAGAATGAAGTACTGTTAATGCCTCGTATCCTGCTCTCCCACGAGGACGAGGTTAGCTAAATAAGTGAGGATATCTGATAACTTATAATATTTATGGAGACTCTCTATTTTGCATTAGTAACTCTGTTTGTGTTTATACAATAATTGCATTTACAATCTCTTGTTACAGATGATTTTTTTTACTTTATTATCTATATATGTTATGCACATAGTTTTGAGTTTATTATTAATGTAGTAAGTTATGCTTTCGTCTTTTAAGTTATAGTAGCCTAATATGGAGATTTAATTATAATCTCTTTAATTAATATTAAGATAATCTTTATTTTTCATTAAAAAAAAAGAATAAGATGGAAATTAATTGTAAATACTTAAGTTAATGAAGAAAACATAAGAGTTTTCTCCAAAGGATTACGAATGACTTCAGTAAGGATGTATTCAGTAAAAGATTTCTTCATAAATTGCTGGAATATCTACTTTCTAGCTATTTCAAAAAAAATTTAGAGAAAAAAAAAAGAATGCAACAAATTAAGTGAAAACCAAAAAAGGAAAGTACTTTGAGACCTAATATATACTTTAAAGGAGATTAAGAGAAAGAGTAAAATTCAAAGAAAAGAATGTACTTATGTAATAAAGTTCTATAAATTAGTGATGAAGATAGCAAAAAAGCTTATATTAAAATCAAGCTTTCGAGAGAAGAAAAAACCGATGTGAAGGAGTATATGTAGGTATTGAAAAGTTATACCAGTCGTTTAGAACTTAGGCTTCCTCAATCACAAGGTTTGAGAGAGAAAATGCGCGCGGTAGATTTTATCAAAATGATCCAATCTGCAGAAAATGATACAATTTGAGATGAGAAGTTGTACTAAATTGTAGCATTACATAAAATCAAAAGGCTGAAAAGTATGTTAGGAACGGAGAAAAGGATCGAACCATTCGTGAAGTCATTTGAAGGTTAAGCTCATTAGTTGCATAAGAAAATATGTGGGGCGGCAATGAACAGGGGAAGGCAGTGAAAGAAAACAAGTGGAGAATAGCTTTGTAGATTTGAATCTTTTTAGGCAGTGAGTGAAAGAAAACAAGTGGGAAACAACTTTTCAAACCTTCAGGCCTGGTTTGAAAGGAACTCAAGGTGAATTTTATTATTATTATTTTGGATACCGGAGGGGAAAAAGTACTCTACTACTCCTTTCAGCAAATAGTTATCGGAGAAGGACAAAATGGGCTAAAATCTCAAATTATAGGAATTAAATTAGGTGTTTTTTAAGTGTAGGGATCAAATCGTGTTAAGGTCGCGTAATTAACATAAATTTTTGTTGAAGTCACTTAATTTTAATTAATA